GTCACCCCACGTGAAGGCCGCCTCGTTATAGATCACATGCAGGTTCAGCGATTTGATGCGTCCGTTACGGGTCAGGTCGAGTACCTCCGACAAGAGGTCTGAGGAGTGAAGTAAGATGGTGAGTTCGAGGGACTCGAGGGAAGAGCCCGTGGAGCGCAGGAGTGATGGCAGCATCGGTACGATGCATGAGGCATCGACCGACAGAACCCGTAAATGCGGTAGTATCACGGATATTTCGCACGGTGGGTCATATAACCAGGTCAATGCGGAGCGACCCGTTGTCGTGAAGGTGCGTATGTTAGGAAAACAGGCCAGAAAGCCTTCAATATATGTCGGTGATAGGTTCCAGGCGGAGACAAGAACGAGTCTTGTGACCGAAGGCAGCAGCGAACCGGAATTGATCGATAGGTTATTCGAACCGTCCCACCAGGTTTCGCCAACTGGGTAGGTTACTAGTCGGCGCAAATTGGTGAAGACGGCAAAGAATGATAGTTTAAGCTCTGGAATGCGCATATCGAGCTCGTGGACTAGCTGAGCAATTTCTGGTGTCACGTGAAGGAGGGACTGAAGCCTGGACAAGGTTTGAGACGTGTATATCGATAGTGACCGCCAGAGAAATAGACGGGCAGTTTGTTGCCATGCTTTGCACGTCAAGCGACAGGCTTTGAGCGTGCGCTTGTCGTCGCGCTGAACTCCAATGATATCGTCCCACAATTCCTGCGGAAGTATGTGCAAGGCACTATTACCTGCATGAAGAGCAGTGAGAATTTCAGATCGGTTGAGTGGGGCCCTTCCTACATGAAATGTGCGGCTGACTGATTTGTTGCACGTCCGCAGACATGGTCGTTGTTCTGGAGTTGTTCACGTCGGTGAGCTAAAGCAAGCCTACCGCAAAACCCACTCGAGACTCACCTCGGCGCTGTAGTCAAATGGCCGTAGTCCTGAGCAGCTGTATGGGGCAACCCCCGGGCCAACACTGCGAGAGGTGGTGGTAGTGGTGGGAAAGGAGTGACCAAGCGGTCGTCGAGCGCGAGCAAGACATCGCAAGAGACCGACGAAAGGGCGATCGGAGATTCGACGACGTAGTATCACGTGTATGTATCGCTACTAGCGCTGTTTTATGGACGAGTGCAGGGCGCCAGTCGAAGTCATCACATACCCTCACATACCCCACCCACGTTTGCACCCACCTCGGATGTCCATGTTCGACAGGATCAAGCAGGGCGCGCAGAAGGCAGGCAGGCAGGCTACGCTCCTCGCGCAGCAGGGCGGTACCAAGATCGCTAGCGAGTCCGCCCAGTTCGTGCATGGGTTTAGTCTCCCCGGAGAGGCAGACAAGGCGGCCAAGACCCTCGCCAGTTTCCTTGGTGCGCAGAGCATACTCTAATGCCAGTGGGGGTTTCTCATAGCCATGAAGCTAACCCAGACCATCCCGAATCCGCACTCAACTCCATCCCGAAAGCTGTATTACAGCGCGCGCGAGGTAAGCATCACTTCCACTCCCCATCGCCGCCATATCCCACACCATCCCCCATCCAGGTCTCGCCGTATTCTCCGTCATCAAGGCGGGATTCGTCTTCTCTGGCAAGGCCGGCTCGGGCATCGTCATTGCGCGCCTCCCCGACGGCTCTTGGTCCGCGCCCTCCTGCATCGCCACCGGCGGCGTCGGTTGGGGTCTCCAGATCGGTGCCGACCTGACCGAGTTCGTCATCGTGCTCAACAGCGAGGATGCCGTTCGCGCATTCTCGATCGGCGGCAATGTCACCATTGGCGGTAATGTTAGTGCCACCGCGGGTCCCATCGGCACCGGCGCCGCCATTCAGTCGACGCTCGCGCACCCGGCCCCGATGTTCTCGTATTCCAAATCAAAGGGTACGACCTGCGTTCTAGACCCTTTGGATGATCCGGCTGACTAGAACGATGTTTGTAACCAGGGCTGTTCGCCGGCCTGTCGCTGGAGGGTACTGCACTGATCGAGCGCAAGGATGCGAACCGCGAATTCTACGGCTCGCCAGTCTCCGCGTCTGATATCCTGAGCGGGCGCGTCCCTCCGCCTGAGGTCGCCTCCAAGCTGTACGAGGTCATTGAAGCGGCTGAGGGCATCGATGAGAGCGGCCTCCCCGAGAATGCCTTCGTCCCCACTGCGGACGGTGACCACATCAACGTGCGCGGCGGAGGAACCGTCTTCGACGCTGAAGGGCATTAAGATGATATGCGATCATATTCGAAGGAGATATTGACTGTACGACTAAGCGGATCACGCTGCGTTGGTTACCCTGATTCACAACGTCCCATTTCATTTTGCTGTACTGTATAGGTGGCGCCTTCATGCTTAATGTTACTCCGACTTGTTGTCTGGTCTTATCCCTCCTCAGTCAAAAAAGTCCATCACGCGAATACCAGGTATATCTACGACATGTAACGACACTCCATCTAGATGACTGTCCAGTCCAGACCCGACCGCTCTATCCCACCAAGCAGCCTCGCTCAGAAAAACTCGTCCCAGAATTCCTGCGTCCCGTTGTTGGGCGCCGCGAAACTCTCGATCCCGAGCAACTTGATCATGAGGTTGTAAACATTCACATTCTCGAACGTGTCCATGACGTAGGTGTCGTCCGCGGTTGAGTGCCAGCCCTTGTTCGGCCGCGACAAGAACCGAGGGAGGACGCGGGCCTGCCGGCGGTCGTGCTCGATCGCCTTCACGACTGCGGAGAACGGCCCGTGCGCGACGAACATCGCATACATTGCAGGCTCGTCATTGTCGTATCCGTGGTTCTGCGGACACTGTCAGTTCATCATCGCGCGCAGACATACGATTCGCGAAGCGTACCCCTTTGCTCATGCCCGAGCCGTTCTCGACGTGATTCGTCAGCGCGTAACCCATCTTCGGGACGATGTATATCGGTGCGATGCGGTAGTTGTCGGCGAAGTGCCATCGCTCGGGCATGGTCTCGTGCGTGTACACGTGGAACTTGCCGCCACTGGCTTCCGACGCGTTCAGTAGGACACGGAGGTACTTATCGGTGTCTGCCTCCGGCTTGAAGCGCAGCCCCATGGATGGCCAGCCTTCAGGCGGTCCACAATCAGGTTAAGTCGCAGTGGTAGACCCACACACGTACCATCGTCATGTTCTATCATGCTAAAGCCATCGCCGAGGATATCATCGACGTGAATCCATTCAGGATCGCTCGTGTCAGTCATTCCGTGGTCGCTCACGAAGACGACATCGAAGATTTCCGTGAGGTTGCGCGCCTCCAGAGCGTCGTGTAGATCCTTGGCGAATGCATCCACCTGATGAAGTACTCTCTGGTATGACTATTAGCACACAACCTGAGGCAAGGCAGAGACATGAAACACACGTTCACAAGGTCGGACGCAGGACCAGCCAGGTGACCAGCTTGGTCCAAAGATGGCTCATACGCTACAGGGAGAATCAACGGACAATCTAGCTGAAGCGATTGCAGCATGCATACCCATAATGAGCTGGGGGCGTTCTTCGATTGGCAGGTCTATCCAAGTGGTAATCTGGTCGAGCTTCTCCTTCAGTGGAACCCTATCCTGTTGACAGGCCGCGTATATGAGCGTTCGGATCAATAATACATTCAAGAGCCCACTTACCCTCCAAGGCACGTAGTACGTAGGAGAGGAACCTGACGCTGTCGTGGGCGGCCCAGGCCTGGCGATGCATGAGCGTCACTGTACATTATCTGTGAGGCCAATACATACCACATCAAATTGGCAGTAATGATTCCTGCCCGCTGCGCGGTCTCCCACATCTAGCACAGCGAATAGTAAGCAGCCAGCCTGTAAACGGCGGCCATCCGTCAGACGAACCGGTTCTCCGAGCCACCAGTGAGATGGCCACGAAGTTGAAGCATCGTTGTAGTGGAACTCAGTGTCCGTCGCAGGATCCCAGAAGTTCTGGGAGAAAACAGAAAGGTAAGCTTACATTAGTAGCACTGTGAATGAGAAACCTACATTCGCGACAATACCGTGCGATTCAGCATATAACCCTGTCCTGAGGACAAAGTTAGACAGGTCGCTCAACTCGTTCAGTATAAGCTTACATCAATGCCCAATGGTTTCTGGCAGTAGACCAATATAAGTTCTGTCCCAGTAACGATATGCCTACCGCTACTTACGGAAATGTCAAAGTCTGATGTTATGATACAATCACTCGGCATCATGCGTTTTGCTGATAATACGAGCACGTACAGGAAAGACTGACTTCATCGCCTTTGCGCGCAGGCCCTTCTTGCTAATCGCGAGCAAATGCGGGGTCAGTCCTCGGTCGAGGTAATCCGCACTGCGTTACGTAAGCAGATCAGAGAGGCAGCACTCTAATGTGCACATACCGGAGCCCGTCTATCGACACAATCAGTGCACTCTTCTTGAAGTAATGTGTTCCATTGCTTCGGAGAAGCGTGTGGTCAAAGTCTGGCTTGGGCTTGGGATGAGGATTGATGATACGCAGTAAGGGTCTCCCGACCAGTGCGCCGAGAAGAATGACGATGAACCCAATGCCAATGCCTACGACGAGCTTGCGGGATGAGCTCTGATGAGAGTACGCGACATCATCGTCATACGACCGTTCTTCATTGGAGAGAAGCCCTCTGCGTTCCTCGTCGGCACTGATGTCTAGCTCTTGCTGCAGGGAGCGACGGGGAGACACAGCATACACGTTCCCACTCTTTCCCATGTCTTCTCTCGCCTAAATATTGCTGTAAGCTTCAAAGGCCAGGGGACAGTCAAAGAGCCAGTGCGCTCGAGATGTGCCAGTATGCGAAGAAGGACGGTGGTCAAACCACTGCGGTCGCTGAATTCGGCATGCGCAGCGCAGTGTGCTTGATTACCTAATCTGCTCATCATCTCAAATCTCCAATTGGTCTTCGGCCCGATCGTTACTAACTGTATTAGGCTCATCCGGGCCGTCCCTCCGGAAGGCGATTCATGGGTCAAAAATTGACGAAGGAAAAGGGTAACGCTGTGTTCAGCGTAGTAGCCCACCGCGAGGGTCGAACTCGCAGCCTTCAGATCGCACCACCTAGTGAATTGAAGGAAATGTCCATTCGGGGGATAAGAGTCTGACGCTCTATCCGATTGAGCTAGGCGGGCTATAGGCACGTGCTCTTCTGATATCTCACAAGGCCCTAGTAGTAGTACGCTCCAGGTGAACTGCTCGTCCCAGCCTCGCCACGAGAAGGTCGGCTCTTGTCGCTGTTACAATTGTACAATTTGACTGGCGTATGATTCTGAGTTCACTAGCGCCCACACTTACACTCATAATATCACAGTACTTGTAGGCCATGGATGTGTTATGCGTTTCAATACCTACGTTGGACCTAGTTTCGGGGCACCAACTGAACCTCCATGTTGTGAACTAGAATCATGTACCGTCGTGCGGCTCCGGACAAACATTGACATACTCTGCCGGTGCGTAAATCAAGTGTTGCATGCTGACTAAATCAGAGTGCTGCAAACAGATACACGTCTGCGCACGTATGCAGTGGCACCCTATGATCCTATCGGCACAAGGAACGTATCCCCCATGTCCATCAGCGAATAATACTAAGCAGCCTATTCACTCGTAATGTCGCATATATAGTCTGGGTGAACTCCAAGTCATCCTGGGCTTCGGAGATACACCAACATGACACCCCTCACTCCAGGACTACGTCTGCTCTTGCGAATCCTCCTCAGTCTGATCGCCCCCGCCATCTGTATCCACAGTACCACGCGTATCACTGAATGGGGCTTCGCCTACGAAGTGCCGCAACGGACCGCCCTGTTTGCCTGGATAATATATCTGCCGTTGAGGGTGGTATTGCTATGGCTCTTGCAGTGGATCCAGGAAGAGCACGATATTCGTCGTCTAGACGCGGTCCGCTTGCCGCAGGTTGCGGGCTGGCTTCCGGGAAACCTGGGTATTATAGGGCAGCTTAGGCGTCGGGATGACGATTATATGTGTGGGTTCGCTCGTTGCTTATATACCCTGTTACTTTCTGACAAGTTCTGTGCAGTCGAGCAGGTGAAGGCGATGCATCAAAAGCATGGCATGCCCTTTGCTGCGGAGATCTTGGGGGCGGAAAAAGGTGCGTAATCATCATCCACCTGTGTATGTCAGGTTTTAGAAGTATGCACACTGTTGCAGATCTTCACTACTGACCCGAATCACATCAAAAGTATTCTTGCAACAGACTTCAATACATGGGAGAAAGGTGCTGAACCGCAGCCATCGTTATATTGATCTCACTAACATGCTGATTGCCGTGGCAGGGGAGCAATTTAGACATGACATGGGCTCTGTACTGGGCTCCGGGGTCTTCAATGCCGATGGTAGTGTCTGGAAGTATGCTCACGCTGTATTGACTAGGGGCGACCTTGTCTCGTACCCATCCGCGCAAGGACGGTCGCACCCAACCACCGCACCGTGGGTGCGACCGTCCTTGCGCGGATGGGTACGAGACAAGGGCGACCAGCAGCTCAAGGAGTCTTCATATCAGATTTCACCGCTCGATGACTCGGCCCTTCTTCACTCGAGACCGTATCATCGACTTCGAGACATTCGCACGTCATGCAGATGAAGCTATCACTATCATACACGCTTGACAAGGCACCCCAGTCGATTTACAAGACGTGCTGCAGCGTTTCACCCTCGACTCTGCTACGGAATTTCTTCTAGGCAGATGCGTGTACTCTCCCCACTCACTTTTACCCCCATCACATGGCAAACGCGAATTAGCCTCGGTTGCAGCGGAGGCATCCGGACCTGCTTTGAACAGAGTGCAAGAACGCCTCGCCTTCAGAAGACAAATGGGTTCAGCGTGGCCTCTGTTCGAGATATTCGGGGATAAGACTAAGTAGGAGACAATCTGCAGCCTCAATGTATTCTGAATACTAAGGTCGTATCATAGGAAGGACATGCGTCTTATCAGCGGATTTCTCACCCCTATCATCCAGGCTGCATTAGATCGGAAGAAATACAATGAGGAGGTGATGGATGATGTGGAGAGGAAATATGATGCGCCCCATCACGTATTGTTAGATCAGTTGCTGGATGTATCGAATGGTGAGGCGCAGAGTTAAGAATTACGCTCATAGTGTTTCATCTGATACGAGTTCTTTAGATCGTAAGCTCATTGCGGATGAGGTCTTGAACATCCTCGTAGCCGGGCGAGACACTGTTTGTTGCTGTTCATAGCCCCCAGTCTCTCTTCCATGCTGATTGTGGCCGCGACTCCTTTTCAGACGTCTACGACGCTCACTTACCTTATCTATCTCCTCGCACAGCATCCCGACGTGCTCAGGCGCCTGCGGGAAGAGGTTCTCACTCGTGTTGGTCCGTCCCGTTACCCGGACTTCGAGGACATGCGAGAAATGAAACACTTGCGTGCGGTCATCAACGGTACGTATATCGAGTGGTTTCAAAACCTCGTCTCTGAATTTGTGGATCTAGAGACGATGCGCCTTTTCCCTGCTGTTCCAGCAAATGTCAGGCGAGCAATCTCATATTACTCGCTGCGTATCTGTTGAAACCCCCCAATAGATCTAATATACGTGCCACGACATTGCCATCTACCGTCCCCGGTGGCAAACCCTACTATGTCCCCGCGAATAGCGAGTATGTATGCAATTTGAACGCGTTTACTACTCGGCTGAGCTAATATTCAGGGTCGCATACTTCGTGATGATGATGCAGAGGAGCCACGACATATGGGGTCCCGATGCAGACGAAGTGCGATTGTGTTACTGCGTGTGCTCAGCTGTAATACTGATTGCGAGTCTTAGTTCGACCCTAGTCGTTTTCTGGACGACCGGCTCCAAAAGCATGTGCTATCTAACCCGTTCAACTTTGTTCCCTTCAATGCAGGTAACTCTTATCAGATCGCCTCTATCATTGTCTCTATGAATCTTGTTGACAGTTGTTTTCAGGGCCACGCATCTGCCTCGGGCAACAGGTAAGGCCGCCGCTAATATCCCGACGAATATCGAATATTGAACGGACGAAACCCCTCCAGTTCGCATACAACGAGATGACATCCTTCTTGGTCCGCTTTCTGCAAGTCTTCAATCGCATGGAGCTAGCGCTCGATACTCAGCCAGCGAACGCGAAGCCCCCAGCGAGATGGGCGGGCGGGGCGGGGCGCCGGTCCGTCGAGAAGATTATCCCGAAAAGTGCCTTGACACTTTTTGTAAAGGTGAGTTGTTCTGAGACAGCTTCGCATAAAGCAGTCCGACATCGTTCATTGATGTTTGCACATCATAATGGGGTGGCCTTTGGATGAGGTTTGGCGAAGCGGCCATTGAGGCCTAGAGTCTATGCATGGCGTGCAAGTTCTGCCAACAATATGCGCTGCGGGCGCTGCTGTATGTACGAAATCCGTACGCTCATTTTGTTACCTGAATGCTAGAGCTAAAGGTCTTGACGCATCACCCAAGGTTCCTCAGACGGCGTTCTCAGGGGGGCAAATAAATTACTGTATACTTTAGCATCGGCAGAAGGGATACTCAGGCTACAACTGTTACCCAGATCCCCGTTCCCGAATGTTGTGAGTAGGACATGTGGATGTATCATGTCTCCATGCTCTCTTCACACTCACCTACCTCGCACGGGGAACGGGAGACGGCCTCATTGACAGTACCTGGCTCTACAGCGAGTGCAGGAACGTCTCGCATTCAGAAGAGAGGTTCCCTCAGCGTCGTCTCTGTTCGAAATATTTGAGGATAAAACGAGGCAGGTCAATTCGCGCAGCTCCGGTCTACAATCGATTACACCAAGTCACCCTTCATACCGCAGAAAGGGCATACTGATAATCGGCGAATTTGTCACACCTACCATCCAGGCTGCTCTGCTTAGGAAGACCGATGGCAAGGAAACGGATGACGTGGCAGGCAAATTCAACTCGACCCAATCGTGAGATATTATTAGACGTCTACAGCCCTCACTTAAGCTTACCTTGTCTATCTCCTCGCATTACACTCACATGTCCTCAACCGTCTGCGGGAAGAGTTACTGGGCCGTGTAGGTCCGTCTCGCTACCCGGATATGCGGGAGATGAAATATATGGGTATCAATGGTGAGTACGGCAATCGGCTTAGTCCCAGGGTGCGTGATGTGGCGAGGGCAATGGCCACGCCTTCGTAGCTGGCATGCTCTGGCCAACACCTGTTAGATCGGGCATATGCGCAACTACATTACCGTCTTCTTTTCCTGGACCAATTCCGAGTCCACAATAAGTGTGTGGAATCAAAACTCGGGGCTGCTTTCCTTGTACTAACGATGCAGAGGAGTAAGGACATATGCGGTCCTGGCGCTGACGAGGTGCTTGGTTGGTCGAACGGCTCCAGAAGCATGTGCTATCGAACCCATTCATATTTATGCCCTTCAACGCCAGCTAGTATATCAATCCCTTCATCTCTCGTCGAGATCAACGGACGAAACTTGCAGTTCGCGTACATGCCTCGGGCAAGAGGTGAGTCTGAGGTCCACCTGGCCCCTCCAAACATTCGCCCTGAGCAAAAACCGTGCTTTTAGTTCGCATACAATGAAATGACGTACTTTCTAGTCTGCTTCTGCAAGTCTTCGACCGCATGGAGCTTGCGCTCGATGCCAGCCCGTCGACGCGAAGCTTCCGGCCAAGCGGGTGAGTGGGAGCGGCAGCCAGGTCATACCAACGAGTGACCTACTATACGTAAGGGTGAGATGTCCGATGGCTTGGCGTACTCCAGCCTACTGCTGTTCATCAACACACACTTCCATCAGGGTGGTCTTTGGATGAGCTTCGGAGAAGCCGCAGACGAGGCTTATGGCTATGCACACCTCGTACGTTCTGGGGAAGATAAGTTCTGGCGCTGTGCTATATGCGTGTATGTCATACGTTTGCTTCTTGCCTTGGGAGGATGCGTTCGACGCCTCAAAGGCTCCGATGATGTTCTCTGGGGGCAGTGCATTAGGAAACGCAGTACGTTCCTGTTGGTGGTGATAGATCGGCGTTCCCGCGCCTCTCGAGCTGGGTCGCCCTGTCAGAGCAATGAACAAAACCACTCATCAAATTGCGAAATCAACGAAGCTCGAACAGTGTGCCACCGATTGTCCTCCGCCACGATGTCATTGA